AATGGGGGTGTTGCTGTGGGTAAAAGAGGCTGGATGGGTGTAAAGATGGCAGTGAAGAAGAGGTGATGTGGGTAAAAGTCCAGATGGGTCTGGATTGGGGGAGAAGAGGGCCTGGAAGGTAGTGGCAGTGAGAAACAGTTGGGGTTGTGGGTAAACAAGGTCAGATGGGGGTGATGGTTGTGGTCTCAAAGTAACCAGATGATGTTGGGGGTAAAGCATGGCTGCAGTGCCATGGTAGATGATAATTGTGGGTAAAAGAGGCCAGATGAGCCTGGATTGGGGGTAATGATGACCAGGAAGCAGTTGATGTTGTGGGTAAGCAAGGCCAGATGAGGGCTGTGGGCCCACAAAGTGGGTCAAAGTGCTCAGATGGGTGGTGCCGTGGGTTAAGACAGGGTTACAACTACTGGCAGTGAGAAACAGCTGATGTTGTGGATAAAGGTGACCAGATGTGAGTGGCAGGTCATGGTGGTGAGGAGGTGGTAGCATTGTGGGTAAAAGTGGCAACTGACAATGGTGGTGCTGCAGCAAGAGTGACAGCCATTGCGGGTTCGTAAGTAAGTTCAGCCATAGAGTTTGCCAAAGGTTTATCACTTCTCACGCAGGCGCCACTTTTTTCGTTCTGCTCCAAAAGATCATTCCCAGCCAGGAGTATTAACAGACTAGCCATGTGAAGCATGAAGCCAAGGAGCTGAGGCGCACAGGAAAGAAGCATTCATTCCCTATGCTCCTCATCTCCATCTAGTGGCCATAATGTATTATTACGACACACTACATTTGAAATGCGAAATAAAATATATTAAAGGAGAAGTATGGGGTCAGTGTTTTTCCCCATAGTTCTCCTAAGGGTAACGAGGGGACACAAACTAGCGTCCTCCCGTTACCCAAAGCTGAGTGTACCGGAAGCTACAGCTCTCTATATACTGAGATGCCGCAGCTGGAACGGATCCCGACAATTCTGTCTGGATCCACCCAGCTGCGTGAGTGACAGCTGGCTCTGCCTATCTAGAGGCAGAGCCAGCTGTGCCCGCCCCCTCCCCCGTCCGTTCCACCAGTCAGCGCTGGAGGATCGGAGCGGGGGGAATCCAGCCCCTCCCCTGTCACGCCTCCCTGCAGGCACATGATGGAGAAGTGAGCGAACGCCGGTATGTGTTCTCTCACCTCCCGATCTACTGAGCCGACCTGTGACAGTCTCATTGTCACAGGTCGGCTAGAACTATGAGGATGAGTAAAAAATCACTCACCTCATAGTTCTCCTTTCAGAATGTTCGTTTTTGGCGTCATTTTGCTCAAAATTGAGCGTTCACATATATACGTGGGGTGAGAATTGTTGATAAAAAGACCCATTATTGCCCATAAAACCTAATTATAGACCGGAAGTCAGCAGTTGAACGTATTTTCCATGCTAACCTCTATTGCATCAACCTAGCTATGGCTCTGAATGTAAAATACAGTCCAGGTTTTAGGTGCGTGCGTGCGCCTGGTCCTGACTCAGCGCCTGCTGCCTAGCGCCGCTGTCATTTTGACTCTGACACCAGTGGAAAGGCATGTCATTAAAACCCATTATCTCTGCCCTCCGGGACTGGAGTTAAACAGTCTTACCCCGCGCTTTTTGGATAATACAGCCCTATACATATTTATGGACGGCTCGCTATATATAGAGCGACGCACTCAGCTTTATTTTAAAACAATTAAACACCCATAACTTAAATCTCACATAATAGGAGTCAGAAAATCTCCACCGGCGGCCTGGCCCGTGACGGTAATCGCTTTTGACGCGCGGCTGTCAGCAGCTCATTGACTGCCTTGGCCGGCTTGACTGAGCGTGCCAGGCGTATCACTGGGGAAGGTGCAGCGCTTTATTTCTTACAAGGCTTGCAAAGTAGGCCAAGGCCAGACCACTGACAACGCTAACTGCCGAGGCAGCAATTCTTTTTTAGCTGTCACAATTAAAACGAGCTTCAGCGGCCTTTCCTCTGACACCGAGTCGAGCTCCAGAAACGTGCGTGGAAATGTTGGCCGGATTACAGGAATGTTATGGACTCGAACGCACATGATTTGTACGAAGGGAAGAACTTTATTTTTATTTCTTCGCCGGTGGAATGGCAGCAATTGCCCTAGAGATAGGGAGGCGGCTAGGGGGTATTGTGGGAAAGTGACCCATGGGCCGCTTCTATAATTGCAAATGGGGCGACTTCTTATAGGTGGCAAACGGTTCTGTAGGCATTACCTCTGTACAAGCCTCTGCTTAGTCATTAGATTGATGGCCAGTGGTGCAACTATAGCCATAGTAGGTCATGAGGCTGCTGTGGGGCCTGGGGTGGGAGGGGGCCCCCTTTAGAGAGACCGTTGAGACAAATTTAACTTAGAAGGTCTTAGGCAGTGGCGTCACGTGGGGGGTGCGGCCTGCACCCGGGTGACATCGATGGAGGGGTGACACCAAAATGACTGACAGTCATTTTGGTCTCACTCCCCTCTGAAAAGTCGGGCACTCGGTCGTGGACCGAGCACCCAACAGTTTCGGGGGAGAGGAGGGGACCCTTATCCCGCCGGGTGACTGTCCCCTCCTCTCTCTGCTGGCGTCCATCACCAAGATGGCGCCGGTAGGCATCAATAAGATCATCGCGCATGCGTGGATGACGTCATGGCACGCGATGACGTCACGTGCATGCGCGGTGATGTCACGGCGGGGTGTCACGCGGTAACTGCTCCGGGTGACACCCGGCCTCGGGACGCCCCCGGTCTTAGGTTGTCTTGTTGAGACAAATTAAACCTAGAAGGTGTGCATGTGAAGGTCACGCAGATTTCTTTGCCAATTCATTTGCAGCAATTGCCCTAGAGGTGGGTCGGTGGTGAGGGGGTATTGGGGGGAAGTGACCCATCTAATATTGCAAAAGGGGTTCGGGACTGAGTGACTTCTTATAGGCGGCAAAGGGTTCTGTAGACATTACCTCTGTACAAGCCTCTGCTTAGCCATTAGTCTGAGGGCCAGTGGTGCAACTATAGCCATAGAGGCCATGCGGCTGCTACGGGGGCCTGGGGTGAGAGGGGGCCCCTTTATGGACACGGTTGAGACAAATTTAACTTAGAAGGTGTGCACGTGAAGGTCACACAGATCCAACTTTGACTTGAGTAGAGGATGGTTAACCTTTTCGCTGCCAATGACCTATGCCGTGCGTCACTGGCAGTGGGCCCATGATTACCCAAGTAAAGCCCCAAACACGGGTTTCACTCAATTTCATTTACATGATCCGCAACTCGCCGGCCCTCATTCACCACAATATTGGAAAATTGTATGTTGTTCCTTCCCCTGCGGGTCTCTGTGGGGAGTGTACTCCGCCCCAGGTGGAGAGGATGAAGCCTCCCTCTTTCTCTCCCCCTGTAGGATGACATCTGTTTCAATAATAATAAATACGTTTAACAAATAAATACATTAATAAATTTAAAAAAAACATTTAAATAAGACGCGGGCCCTTTAAGAGGTACGTCCAAGTTGTCCGGCAGTCGCGGGGTTAATGCTCGGCTGTATCACAATCACGTGATCCCAGGAGACCGCGCTAACAAGGGAATAAAGTTGTTGTTTTTTGACGGATGCAGAATTCACGGATACGCGCTATTAGCATATTTTTCCAGCAGGTGTCGCTGTGGTACACAGTGGAATTTTTTTTTCTTCACCAGCAGAGAGTAAGAGCGCCGCAGCCAATCCACGAACGTCGAATGATCT